GCCAGGCCTTCGTTGTGACAGGAGAGGGGGAACGGAAGCTGACATCACGCTGGAGAGGACACCTGGATGTGAAGGAGAGGACACCTGCAAAACAAAACCTACGGCCCTGTTCCTCCCACCTCTGCTTTTTCGTCCAAACCAACGGTCACTGCCCAGAGGCATGCGATTTAACCTGGAAGCGAGGAACAGCCAAGGGAGAATTATGTTTAAGGAGAAAACTGTGACATGTTTGTCAACAATTAAAAGGCCCAAACCTGTGCCATTTGATTAAACTTGAGAAATTACAAATATACTCGATAGTGGCCAAGAACAAATTATGCTCTTCGGTGGCAGGAAGATGTTTGCTCCCTGATACACACACCTGCTACGAACGTGTTAAATACATCTCCGTAGGAGAACAAACTATAGGAGAAAGAACTCTTCATCAAGGGTTGCCGGGGTAGCAACTCTGCAGAGAGCATGATACTGCTGGTTATTTGCAACATTCTCAAACCCTCTCCAGCACAGGACACTCGCCTGGGTGGCCTGCACACAGGACTTCCGGAAGCTGTGAGAAGCCCGGAGCTCCATTTCTATCTCACACGGAGCGGAAGAGCCAGCGCTGCCCAGTCCATCTCTCAGGCATGTCTGCTACACTGTCTAAGCCTCAGAGGTGCCAAATTGCCCAGGATGAAATGACATCGTGCAGGTTACGCACTTAGCATTCTGCTAAGCACAGATGCTGAACAAAGGAGCTGTTTCATGGGATTAGGGGGGTCCCTGCCCCATCTTCCCCTGCCCAGCCCTGAAATCCCCGTGTGCAAGTGCCCTTACCAGGCATCCAGACAGAGCTCTCCCACCAAGGACCGGGCCATCGTGACCTCTCCGGCCCCCTCCAAGGAAGCCACGCAAAGCTATAGCGGGGCCAGGGAGAGGCTTGGTTCCTGCTGATCTGCCGCCTGGAAAGCTGGTTGGGGGGCCGAGCAGGGTCCCAGCTGAATGAGCTGGCCGGGTTATCAGGCATTGCGGTTCTGCTGCCGGCGAGCTGAATTACAATGTGCCACTGCACACAGAGACTGTATCCCGAAAAGAACAAGCTTTCTTTAACACGAAAGGCAGTTGACTCATTTACCTCAACCCCATCAATCCCAGTTGGGCTTTTTAAAGAAGAACCAGAGGGCAGACCTCGCCAAGCTGCTCTCACTGGAGGCAGGCCATTCCTGGGCGCTTTTCTGGGCACGGAGAGTGCCCAAGCTGCAGGGTTAACATTTCACAGTATGCCACACCCTGTGGGACACCCCAGAAATCTGATCAGATCAATCTGAAAACCATCAGCAATGCTCCTCTGACTCCAGAGAACTGGGTGCGGGGAGGGAGATACAGATCTCTCAAAGTCTGAAATGAAGATATGAAAAAAAAAAAAAAAAACCAAAAAAAAAAACCAGTTTAGGGGCAGGGGGCAAGGTAATGTTTTAAAACAAGATGGGTAAAATATCCCATTCCCTGTGTCTGCACACAGAGTCACAGACCCATTTGTATCTGGGAATCCTCGTGAGCTCTTGCAACTACCATATACACAATTCAGTCCATCTGATTAGAGATTTTCCATTCCAGGCCCACTAGAATCACTTTGAAATCAGCTTTTAGCCAAAACACCCTTCCCTTCGACAGGGCCACTCCCCATCCCAACACCAAAAATTCCCGAGGCTGCCAGAGAAAGAGAAATTTCAAAGAAATCATGGCACAGCCAAATGCTAGAACAGCATGCCAACATGAGAAATCACATGCTCAAAACTTTTCCTAACACTGAAGCGTACTCACAGTATGCTACCCAGGAAACTTGGTAAGTGTGACTCCAGTGTTGCGTATGTGCACATAGGCAGGACAGGCAGTTGTCTCCCTTGGGTGGGACAAGCTACTGTTCAACTATGTGCTGTGATACACATATACAGTCCTGATCGGGAAAGATGTACGCTTTGCCGATGGAGCATCCTGCAAGGCTCGCAGGCAGAGGCAGACCTGCCAAAGTGTCTGAAGTTCCCAGGGATGCTCGGTCCGGTGCACGTCAGTGCCCCCACACGGGGCTCCTCCAAAGGCATCTGCAGTCTCCCGACCCACAGCACCGCTCTCAGACTCTGCGCAAGTGGGCAACCCACACCCTACACCACTGCACAACACTGTTGTGCTCAGTTCTCTTCTCATACCAAAAAAAAAAAAAAAAGATTGCCCTGCCACAATTGAGTACACTTCTCAATTTCTAGAACATCAAAGATACAGACATAAATCACAGCCATAATCTAACAACTGGCAGAGGGTGGGAGAACACTTCATTACAACACAGGAACTCACATTTCCTTAGAAGGGGCCGTGTGAGGTGCTTTGGGAGGCTGCCGATCCAGCCTCTCTGTTCAGATGGCCCTTTGGTTCACCCCACACTTTGAATGACCCCATTCGAACATTCAGGGGGTCACTCTATCTCCCTGAACCTTCACCTCCTACAAACTGACAAAAACAGAGCTTGTCCACTTTCTCCCGGACATCGTGAGATCAGGCGTACAAGAGGATTTCGATATAAAGTTCTATACAAATGAAGGGGATATTGCTGATGATAATAATGAAAAGCATATCTGAATGATTCTGAAGCCTCAGTAAATGAACAACATCTCTGACACAATACAGACATTCTTTTTCTGACAGAAAAATAACACCACCATCAGAGCCCCAAGCAGGACCCGCTCACTGATTCCGAGTCTCATTAAAAATGACAAGGATTCAGCCAAGAAGGAAACGCAAGTCTCACATCATAAAGGCAGGCAATTAAGCTACCAAAACCTATCATCCAGGAACCACACGGTGCTTTCTCAAAAAAAGAAAAACAAAACCACATCCTCTTTCTAGAAAGCCCAATCAATAGCTTTGCTGGAAGTGCCTGAGACCCCCCCCCACCTTCCTTCTCCCCCTCCTCCCTGGAGCTGGGCTTCAAGAATGGTGAAGGAGAATGAGGTGCCATGAATCACCCTAGGCTGGAGGGCTCTGCCCAGCCAGGAGGTGCTGGCAGCCAGGTGCGCTCAGGACTTGGCACTGACTTTCAAAGTGTTTCATCAGACTCTGGTGGATGCCCGAGAGAGCTGCAGGGAGACGGCGACACAGGCCCACAGACACACAGGCACAGTGCCCCCTCACTGGACAGCAACAGAACAGAGCTCGGGCTCCAGAGGAGCACAACTGCCCCACTGCCTGACCGTCAGCATCCTGGGCAGGTCCCAAGGCCACCCGCAGCCCCTGCCTCTCGAGGAATCTGGAAGCATCTCAAATTGCCGAGAGAGTAGCCAGGGGCACTGAGAGCCAGGCCCCACAGAAGACTGGAGCACTGCTCAGATCCTTGAGGGCAGTGGTTCTCAGCCTTCCTAATGCTGCGACCCTTTAATACAGTTCCTCATGTTGTGGTGACCCCCAACCATGAAATTATTTTTGTTGCTACTTCATAACTATAATTTTGCTACTGTTATGCATCGTAATGTAAATATCTGTGTTTTCCGATGGTCTTAGGCGCTACAGCAGCAGTTGGTCCTCAACCTGTGGGTCTTGTTGACCCACCTAGCAGGGTCACCTAAGACCAGTCATTAACAGTAGCAAAATTACAGTTATGAAGTAGCAATGAAAATAATGTCATGGTTGGGGCTGAACCACAACATAAGGAACTGTATTAAAGGGTCATGGCATTAGAAAGGTTGAGAACCACTGCTCTAGGGGAATTAGCAAGCCCTCTAAGGATGTGCCTGACCCATCGGCAGCCTGGCCCAGCCACTGTTCAAGTCTCCAGGGCTGCCAAATACCAAGAGGATCAGCACCACAATAATTCACCTTCTCCACCTACGTGGCCAAGCGTCAAAGCAAGACAACCTGGCACTAGTGGTGCAGACTGCATGGTGCCAAAGCAAAGCCCTCCTTTGGCCCATGCCCGCTCCCTTGAAGATGGAGAGGAGGTGGTCAGGCTCTCAGACACATTCCTGCAAGGCCTCCCTCAACAGCGTCCCTACTGGCCTCCCATCAGGACAGTGCTGTATTGTGGACAGTGGCCCGCAGGGATGGCAAGGGAAAGGCTGCTGGCTGATTGACTGTGGCTGAGACAGAACCCCACATTCCACATTTACTGGTCTCTGGAGCGAATCCTGGCAGGACCAAATGAATAAGGGAGACAATCTAGAGGCCAAGTAGCAGAGTAATAAGAGCCACCAGTCATCCAAAGAGAACACTGGGCCAGGAGAGGCCCCGTTGTCTTGCCGTTCCCTGCAGGGTCACAGCCTTCCCTGACTTACTGTAAGGGGGGCTGGCTCCCAGGAATGTGACCGTGAGACCCTGAGGCTCTGAGGAAGCCCCTATCCTCCTGGTAAGGACATCTTCTCATTCGGCCCAGGACTTTGACAGAAGACACTCTTTGGAGGCACAGGGTCAGGTGGACGGGACACAACGCTGTCTTGCAACGGAGCTGACTCTGCAAGAGCTCCGCTCATCAGCCTCCACGGTGCCCCCTGAACGAAGCAAAGACACCCCTGAACGAAGCAAAGACACGCTGGCAGAGCCTCACGGTCCCCGGCAGCACTTCTCAGAACACATCGTCAACGTCCAGCAGGACGCTGGGCCCTGAACCGGTAATCTGTCACAGTCCCGGTGGCGCCAATCCCTCCAGCTACCCCTAGGCATCAGCTGGGCCGGTCGGGTCACTCGGGCGACCCAGGAGTACACAACCACGTCCAGCCACTTCCCCACAGGAGAGGCTCTACGATCCATCCTCCCTGGCAGAGCTCGGCCCTCGGCCTCGCCTGGGCTCTCGCCCGCCCGGCCTGCAGGGTGAGAGGCACTGCAGTGCTCACTCGGCCTGGCAGCCGCGTGCCACGGGCCGGCGCGTGTGTACATAGACTGGAGCACACACACACTCACACATGCGTGCACGCCGCGCCGCCGGAGGAGCCCGCTCCTCCGCGCTTTCCATTAGCCCCGCGACAGCCAGCCCTCCTCACCTTCGATAGCGATGACATGCTCCCGGATCTGGTTCTGCAGCACCGGCTCCTCCACCCGCTCCAGCAGCTCATAGATGGAGTAAATGTTGGGATGGACCGACTCGAAGCGCTGGATCTCGGCCCGGATGGCAGCCGAGTTGGCCAGCTGCTGCTGGTAGTTCATGGTGCAGGCGCCCCGCCCGGAGCCGCGCGCCCCCCGCCGCCGCCGCCCCGCGCCCCGGGGCCCGCGGGCCGCCGAGCCCGGGGCGCCGCAGCCCCCGGGGAGCCGGGCCCGCCGGCGGCGGGCGGAGGAGGCGCGAGAAGAAAGGAGCGGACGGAGCGGGCGGAGCAGGCGCGGGGCCGGCCCGCGGACTCAGTTCATGGCCGGGGCGTGCGGCCGGCGAGCGAGTGGGCGAGCGGGCCACGGCGCCCAGGTCAGCGGGCCCCCATGGAGCGCTCCGCGGCGGGCGCGGCCGGCCCGGAGGAGGCTCGCTCCGGCGCCTTCCTGTGCCGCAGCCGCTTCCACCTCTAGACACTGCCCCGCCGAGCAGCCATTAAAGCCAGGCAGCCGCCGCGCTCCGAGTGCCGCGGCCGAGGGCCGGCCCCCGGGCAGCGGCCCCGCCGAGGGGAGCGCGGCGCGGCGGCGTGGGTCCGCGCGCTGTGTGCTGCGCCCCCCGGCGCGCCGGAGCCCCCGCGCCCGCCGAGCCCTCTGTGCGCCGCTCGCCGAGTCGGGACCGAGCCGCAAGCGCCGTACCAGCCGCGAAGCCAGCTCCCAGTGCCGCCAGCCGCCTGCCCGGCCGGCCCCCTCCCTGGCACGCAGCGCTCCAGCCCACGTCGGCCCCGCCTTCGCCCCGCCCGCCAGCGCGCTCGCCGCCCTCGGGCCGCCGCAGCCGCAGCCACTGCGTCCTCAGGCGGCGCTTCCCAGCGCGCCGGATCCCGGGGAATTGCGCCAGGCCCCGCCCCGCGCCCGCCGGTCCCTGGGCTTCCTGGGACTTGTAGTCCTCGCCGCGTCGGCGCCCCGCGGGGACCACGAAGAGGGGGCGGGAGGCCATCGAGGTCCGGGGCGCAGCTGGGAACAGGGGCTCGGGGGCGCTGGACCTTTCTGCCCGCCGACCTCCTGCGCGGCCCAACTCCCGCCCAGCCCTCTCTGCGGGCCCCGACCTGCCCCAGGTGCCCCGCGCCCCAGGACCGGGGAGGCACTGCGCGACCCCGCCCCCCGCTTTTTTTGATTGTTTGTTTCCAAGCGGCAGTTGCAACGAGTCTCTGCGACTGGCCATTACGCCAGTGTATCCCAATGGCAGTTTGTTGTCCTGACCCCCTACCCTTATTATTATTATTTTTTAATTTTAACTTTTGGCCTTCTTTCCCGAAAGTGACGTGCGTGCTTCCTCGGGTTCTGGGTGTTCACACGCCAGGAGTGAACCCAAGTTTAGACAAGGATGAGAGCTAGGTGCCATGAAATGCTACGGAGGCTTCGTAGGCATCCTTAAAAAAAAAAAAAAAAATATATATATATATATATATATATATATATATATATGACACAGATCTCAAGCTGCAGCCTCTTCAGCGCTGCCTTCTGCTCCGAGTGGGTCCCCAACCGGTTCCTGGCATAGCTCAGCCCCCGGGGGCCCCGCGGAGCTGGACCACACTGCAGCAGCTGCCCCAGCGCGCAGAGGGCTCGCTCGCTCACGGGTTTGAGGCAAATGAGCCCAGACCCTGCCTCCACCCCTCTTTGGAAAGAGAAGTCAGCAGCTCTGGCATCCCCATTAAAGCCAGCTCAGGCTTCCCCTGGTCCACGTGCAGCCTGAGTTAGGCACCCGGGTTACCCCTCCTCATTGGGTTACAGTCTCTGGGCTCATAATTCCTCAGACAAATGTTAGAAACATCTTCAGCGTGCTGGGCCTTTGTGCCCTCCTCCGCACTCCCAAATCCCATCAGGGCCCCTGACACGTGAAGCCAAATTCATCCCTCCATTAAACAAAACCTCCCCTCCCCCGGCCCCTGGCACTCTCCCTTCTCCTTCCCATCCCTATGAATTTGACTACTCTAGGTACCTCCTGAGTGGGACTGGCTTTTTTTCATTCACCATAGCGTCCTCAAGGTTTATCCATATTGCAGCATGTATCAGATTTCCCTTCATTTTTAGGGCTGAGTTATAGATCACATTTTGTTTACCCATTCATCTGTTGATGGACATTTCGAACCTGGGTGTGCAAATATCTCCTGGCTGTTTGCTTCCCAGGGGTGGGGTTGCTGGACCAGGCAGGGCCTTTCAGTGGCACGTCAGTGTGAAGCTCAGCTCCTCTGACCCGTCTGCTTCCAGGTCAGGGTCATAGCCTCCAAGATTTGTGCTGGAACACAGTAATTAGAAGTCTGCAACCTCAGAGAGTGTCACAGAATTGACACTATGAAAGGGATCCTGGCGTCCTTTCACGCACCACAGAGAAAACAGAGCCCCACAGGTGAAGTCACTTACCCGACTGGCAGTATTTGGTAGAAAGAGACCCTGGAACAGAACTGAGTCTGTGAAAGCTCCCAAGTCCTGGACCCACACAGGGTGGGGCTCAATATGGTCACAGACTTACCAGGTTGGGTAGGGGGTGGAGGGTCAGGGAACCCAGACCCTGGGAGGTGGCCACCCCAGTGCAGAAATTCCACTGCTTAGTGGCCACAGCCCCACCCTTGCCTGATAGGAGCAGCCACACAGCAACTGTTGCTGTTATTGTTCATTTTTTTTCCGAGCGAAGGTAAAAGACAGAGATGCCTTATGCTCCTAGCAATCTCCTCAAGCCATCTTCCACGTGCCACGGAGGCACTGGTCCACCTTCTTGTCAGTTTCCGGGGATAGGAAAACGCATTGGTAATCCACAAGTGTGTTTTATACAGACACACACTACCATGATCATGTAAATCACTTCCTCTGTGTATCAAGTGCAAAATGCATGATAATATCGAGGGTATGAATCCTTCTCTCATAATAAAATGGAAGATTGATTTGCTTATATACATTCTGTACGCTGATGAAAACGCTGGTTTTATACACATAGCTCTGGCTGATGAACAAATTAGGCATTGAGAAATAAGATGCAAATGAGGTGTTTACAGACACTTTTGAAATTATATAATTGTCTCCCACGTCATGTGAACACCAAGTAATGATTTTGAATGGATTGGTGGAGGCAGTCGGAAGGAGGGCTTCTCTAATGCTTACCCACTTTATTTTCTCTTATCACCTTTGGCATGTATTTTTGAAAGCATCTTTACACTTGAGCTTTTTTATTGTTTGTTTGTTTTATAGATGATCTGCTACAATATCTTTGGGGAAACTGTTGCTTTTGATGTTCCTTCTCAGTGTACCCAAAATGACAGCAACCCAAAAGTGCTGTTCTGTTCTGTTCTGTTCTTCAATTCTCGCTTGGTTTCCAAATATAGACTCAGTTTAAATATTTATCAAATCGCTGCCAAATACTTGGCCAGGCACCTTTTGACCTTATCTCATTTAACCTTGGGAACCTCGCTCAGCAGGTTTGGGAGGTGGTGATTCGCCTGAGGCTACTGCCAGAAGGGACACACCCAGAATTTAAAACCCAGTTTTCTATTTCCCCAGTGTAAGCAGGCATGCCTTCCATCCTAACTTTAAATACACAATAGCATATTTCATCAGCGTGATCCCGGACACATTTCTCAGATATGAAGACAAGCCCATCACAAAACATGTTCAAGTCCACGTGCATGGTTATTGTGCTGCTTCCTGTGTAACCGAAGGGCACTTTTCCTGCCCTGACCTTGCTCTTTTATAGACAACCAAAGCAGGGCTATGGTCTAAAACAGCTATGAAAACCAAGGCAGTCTCTAGAAATTCCTTAGAAATGAGTGCAATCTCCATTTCTTTTATATATAGATAGATAGATAGATAGATAGATAGATAGATAGATAGAGATATATATATAGATAGATATAGATATAGATAGATAGATATAGATAGATAGATAGATAGATAGATAGATAGATAGATAGATAGTTGATGTTTTTTACAGAGAGGAAGAGAGAGGGATAGAGAGTTAGAAACATCGATAAGAGAAAATTATCCATCAGCTGCCTGGTACATGCCCTTGACCGGAATCGAACGTGGGACCCTTCAGTCCATAGACCGACACTCTATCCACTGAGCCAAACCGGTTTCGATCAATCCCCATTTCTTTCCCTGAAAAGGCATTGCTCTGGGGCTCCAAGGGTTGTGCCGCTCTCCGGCCCTGCCTTGTCACTCCCAGGGTAAAAGGGCCTCGGTGGGATGAAGTGGATGCTCTAGCCAATTCTTCTCCCCCAGACCTGGAGCAGAACATGAAGTGGTCCCCGACTTCTGGCAGCAACTCCGGCCTGGGCAGGTCACCCGTCTCCGCTTGCCAGCAGACTGGACCACGGCCTGGCTTGCTCTTGGCCAAGCCGCAATTCTGGAAGCAATGATCGGCCCAACCGGTCTTGTGCTTGTGACGCCAGCGCGCCAGACCTGCGCCTGGCACCTCCAGATGGCCCTTCTTCACGGATCAGATAACAGAGGCTCAAAGCTAGCCTGGAGTCACCCAAGGGTCAATGGCTGAGGTAGCTGTAGGACAAACTCTTCAGGCCTTGGTTTGCTCATCTGTAAAAATGAGCCACTAGAACGCCTACTGATAGTGTTATGATTATGTTTCCAGATATTGACCGCCACCCGCAATCTTACTAGTCACATCAGTTACTAATTTAACTTACACACGAGCAATGACAATGTTTAATGCCCTTTTACATTTGTTCTCAAGCTCCATGTACATCTGAGTTTAAGTTAAAGATGCCCTCTGCAACATTTTTTTTATCAAGACATAGACATTCCTAGGCTATGTGAGGTTTAGCATAGTAATAGGGCCCATGACCGAGTCAACAAATGTTTACTGAGCACCTGCTCTATACAAGGCAGTGCGCTAAAGGTTTGGGACTGCGGTTAAGGAAACAGGAAAGCCACTTCCTCCTCAGAGCCATCAGGGTGGGCGGAGGGTAAGTAAATACTTTCTCATCACTAATTAACTCATTTCAAGTGTGTGCTCCCGTGGACTTGAGCTAAGTTAACGCTGTGCATCGGCTTCGGTGTCCTGGGCCCCAGGGTCTGGGCCAGATTTCCGTTTTCCTTTCCTCGCTGCTTCCTGGGTT